CCATGGCCTGTGCTCTAGCTCCTGCCTCCAGGTTCCTGCCCTGAGTTCCTACCTTGGGCTCCCTGATGAACTACGACCTGGGAGATGTAAGATAAATAAACCCTTTCCTCCCCAAGTTGCTAGTGGTCAGAGTGTTTTGTCACAGCAATGAAGAAACAAACCAGGGCAGGGAGGTTCAATTGGGGGTTGATCCACCACTGGAGTTCTACCCTATTATTTCGGCCTTAAAGGCATGCTTTCAGCCTGAGAGCCCTAAGCCCTAGGCGCCACCTCCTGACGAGCCTTCAGAAACCCAGGCATGGGAATCATGGGAAGAGTTTGAGGAAGAATGCGGAAATGCAACAGAAGTGAAACCAAAAGTGGCCAAAGTAATAAGCAGCACCTCAGGCGTGCCCTGGCCAGCTTCAGGGCCTCCTGGGACCCATGAAAACAGGACCCATGGATGCCTTTTTCAGAAGGGCGGGGCAGAGTGGAGCACCTGGGGTCAGTGGCGAAAGCTGCCCACCCAACCCGCCTTGAACTAACGCGTGCACGAATCAGGGGTCCACGTGAAAACCGGGCGGGGGACCGCCCCCTGGCCGGTGACTGGCAGCGGTGGCCGCCGGGCACATTTAAAAACAAAAAAAACACCTTTGGTGGGGCACTGCGACCGGCTCCGGGACAGCTGGGAAGGCCCGTCCCCATGGGCACCTGGGAATCCACCCCGCCGCTGAGTGTTACAGCCCCGCTGGCAGCAGCACTTGCTGAATCCTGGGGCAGGGGGAGCTCTTAGTGAAAGCCTACAATGTTTTCACTGACAGGGGCAGATTGGGAGCTGCAGTGGTAGTATACCCAGGGGTGGATGAGAAACCAAAAAGATATGTCCACACTTGTGATGGCTGAGCTCAATTCAAGGAACTCATGGCCATTGCTTTCTGACAGTATTCAGACTCCTATGCTCCTTAAAGAGAGAGCAGCCCCTATCTTCTTACAGCATCTTAGGGGACACCAAGGACTGCCTGGCTTTTATCCCAAGGCAATGCAGAGGCAGACAAGATGGCTTATTGTGTACAGGTACCGCCTCTGCAACAGCCAGGGGTAAACCCAGGGGACTCAAGCCCAATTCCTTGTGGCAGATGGATATCACACACTATGCTCCTTTTGGAAAGCTTAAGTATATTTTTGTGCCCATCGACACATTCTCACATGCCTGTTGGGCTACCACTGATACAGGAGAGAAGTCTAAACATGCTCAGTCTCATTTTCTCCAGTGCTTTGCTACATTGGGATTGCCCCAAAGAATTAAAACTGATAATGGACCATGTTTTGTGAGTAAAAATTTACAAGATTTCTTCTCACTTTGGGGAATTCAACACAATACAGGAATTCCCTACAATCCCCAAGGTCAAGCCATTATAGAACGCAACCATCAAAACCTAAAAATTCAATTACAAAAACAAAAAGGGGGAATAATCCCCCACCAACAGTTGGGTATGGCCTTATTCACTATTAATGTTCCTAGTTTTCAAAATAATCAGTTGGAATCCCGGTTTCAGAAGCATAGGGGACGACAGGAGCAGAGACCTGAGGTACGGGTAAGATGGAAGGACCCCATTACAGGGCAATGGAAAGGCCCAGATCCATTGCTAACCATGGGTTGAGGCTTTGGCTGTGTCTACCCTATATGGGTGCCTGCGAAAAACCTTAAGTGGGTAGGCCAGGATCTGACTGACTAGCATGACGGTTCATGGACAATAGTTCATGAGCCAAAATTCCTCTCTTTATTTATAACCATCTGAGGTGAAGGACCCAGTTCCTTGGCTTCATTGCCAGTCAGCCTCTTTGACAACTGGCTGATTGGCTAAAAGGTACATGGTCTCAGAAGTATTTCAACATGTCCTATGCCATGACTTGCTTTGTTTCTCTTGCTAATGCTTATCTTTGTCTTTACCAGATAATTTGGTGACAGAGCACCCTTAGTACTGCCACAGCCCACCTCCTCATGATTACAGACTCCCCCAGGACCCCCTCTGGTTGCCCACACTTAGCTAACCAAATTAGGCAGAGACTAAGACTGTCACAGGCTGGCATTACCCACACGGCTGCCCTTAATCATGACACATTTTTAGCCAAGGACGGGTAAGATGTCCCATGACAGGCACTCCTAAGACAGGACATGCACATGGCCAGGTGCATGATCCAATGATGGGCAAGGCTTGGTCAGAGGTGACACAACCTAAGACAGGCAAAAATGCGTAAGATTAGAGGAAGAAGATAGCCATCTCTCCTCAGGGAGCCGTCTATGAAATGGGTAACCCATGAAATAAAGTCAGTCCGGCCTTATAAAATAAAAATAAAAGGGGGAGATGTGGGGACCTAAAGGCCCCACCTTGGAGAAGTCTGAGAGAAGTTACTGGGGCGCAGCCTGACTTGCTTTGAAAGTCTGAAGAATACTTCTGCACTGATGAGGAGTGCATGATCAGCGCGTGACCATCCTTAAGATACACCCTTCGGGGGGGAAGGGGGATTTCCAGGTGCCTTTATAAGCTCTGTAACACCTGCAATAAATGAGTCCCTGCTTGACTAGGCTCCCCATTGCACCTGAGTGTTCCCGGTACTGGAGGTGGTGTGGGCTGGCGAGCAGCGCGCTTACTCATCCCCAGTCATCACTGCGTGGGGGTCGCTGGCTCAAACGTCCCCCACAGATCTTTTCCAGATTTAGGGGCTCTAATTCTAGACTGAGTCTCATTGTTGCCATTATACCAGTGAGCTCCCAGGTGAACTGACAGAAGTCTTCACAGTTGACATCCTCGAGGGGTGCACAGGACCTGCCATGTCTTCCCGTATGGGTGTTCCTGCCCAATCCCACCTTAGTCTAGAGGACAAATGCTTACTCACTGACCGTTCAAAGCGCATGACCTTGGCCAGGAGCAGCTGCAGGGGTTCTGCATAGTTCCGGTAGCAATCCAGGTCCTGAAGGATATTGCAGAGGGTTTGGATCTCCTGCTCCGTTCTCCAGGACGGCTTCTTCTGTGTGATGTGGATGGCCCTCAGAGGGAAGTGACCCTGGGGAGAAATGGCCAGAGTAACATACAGGGTCCTGGCTGGCAACCTTCCCACTTTCTCGCTTGCATGCATTCCTGTTCCCCATACAGTGGTGCCTAGTGTGTACTGAGGGCTGTGTGTCAACCATCAGGTCAGCATCTTACATACCCACCTCACCACATCTTCATCCAGCCCAAGAATGATTCCCATTTGGCAGATGAAGAAACTCAGGAGGGAGAATACAAGTAGATGGGCTACCTGCCAAGGCAGGATATGGGGCTCTTCTTGATCCAGGATCCCCTAGTACAAGCACACTGCAATCAAGGGAGACTTGTCCTTGTCCCAGTGAAGATGTTCTTCTGTGTTGGGACCAATTAATCAAACCTGACTGTGATGGATAGCTTTAGTGTCAACTTGACACACGTGGGTTGAGGGAGCCTCAATTGGGGAATTGCCTCCCTTGGACTGGCCTGTGGCCATGTCTGTGGGGCATTTTCTTGATTGTTGAGTGATGTGGGAAGGCCCAGCCTACTGTGGGTAGTGCCACCCCTGGGCAAATGGACCTGTGTTGGGTAAGAGAGCAAGCTGAGCAGGGGCCAGGGGAGCAAGCCAGTAAGCAGTGTTCCTCCATGGCCTGTGCTCCAGCTCCTGCTTCCAGGTTCCTGCCCTGAGTTCCTACCTTGGGCTCCCTGATGAACTGTGACCTGGGAGATGTAAGCTGAATAAACCCTTTCCTCTCCTACTTGGTATTAGTTAGAGTATTTTGTCACAGCAATGAAGAACAAACTAGAACACTGACTCATTGGATTGCCACCTACATAGGCTTTGCCTGCCTCTGTGGATTTTCCCTTTGAGGCTGTCTTCTCTTTCTCAATTTCTCTGCACAGAATGGCCCTCAGTTCTAGAATTCTGTGGCTCTCAGGCCCTTGGCTTCACCTGTGTGAATCAGGATGAAATTTTGGTAACCTTCCATGTCCAGTGTCAGGCACTGGTTGGTCTGGAAAACTGAAGAAACACAGAATCTAGATGACTTATCTGACTCTGCTTCATTAATGAGAGAAATGAGGAATCAGACTGTGTCTAAGAAAACTGAGAAGCCATACCTCCAAGGGGAAGGCATGGGTGCCAGGCAGGGGATAGGCATAGGTGGTCCTAGTCCCTGATGCAAAGTTCTGTTTTCTTTCCTGAGAGATGAGCCCAAATGGCTACTCCAGACCAGAGTCAAGTCAGGTTTGTACCAGTAAGACTGTCACTGACGTCTGTAAATAGGTATGCTCTTTTAAATTTTAAATTGGATTTAACATTTTTATTTAATATCCAGGATTTTTGTGGGTAGAAGTGAGCAAGGTAATAATGATGCTTATTCCCAGAAACCAAGTTCATAGACCAGAGACCCACACGGACATAAAGGCCTTCTCTCATCAAAATGGGAAAATTACTTGAAGGGTAATTGAACCAGAATGTACCAACAAGCCAAAGGGTTTCCCACCACCTTGCTTCTTTTTCTTCTGGTGGGCCTCTCACAGCCTTGGCTTTGCTTTATGCTGTTTTTCTTTTTTCTTAAATTTTATTAATTATTTTTATTTTATGTGTATGCGTGTATTGCCTGCATGTAGGAAAGTGCACCCATGTCATGCAATGCCCATGGAGATCAGAAGAGGTTGTCAGATCCCCTGGGACTGGAGTTACAGACGTTAGCTGCCATGTGGGTGCTGGGATTTGTACTCGGGTCTTCTGCAAAAACAACCAGCATTCTTAACCGCTGAGCCATCTCTCTAGCCCGCTTTCTGCTGTTTTTCAACAGGTCCAAGCCAAGAAGCTCTTCTCCACTGGTTCAGCTCAGTTAAACAGTGCTAACAGGACTGGACAAGATTTCTGTCATCAGAAACCAAGTGGTTACTTCAGAGTGCCACGAGTAGTGGCAGACAGAATCTGGACTAAAATGAGCTCTTCTGATGCTTAATTCAGTGCTTCTTTCTGGCCAGGAGCAGATGCCGGAGAGAGAGAGAGAGAAAGAGAGAGAGAAAAGAGAGAGAGAGAGAGGGAGAGAGAGAGAGAGAGAGAGAGAGAGAGAGAGAGAGAGAGAGAGAATACCTCCTCTGCAACAAAGTCCAAGGTATCAAATGTAATCCGGCTTTGTTTCCTTTTCTGAAAGAAAGCAGAGAAAGAATGAGTAAAACAGACCCTAGAACTCTGCATCTGAAGCCCTGGGCCACTGTGGTAGATGGGAAGCCCTGGGAACCTCCTACCAGCTGGCCCTTTCATGCTCCCCTCTCCTCAATAACCCCAATTCTTGACAGGCATAGGGGTGCATGCCTTCAATCCTGGCACTCGGGAGGCAGAGGCAGGTGGATCTCTGTGAGTTTGAGGCCAATCTGGTCTACATAACGAGTTCCAGGCCAATAGGGATACATAGGGAGATCCTGTTTCAAGAACAAATAAAACCCAGCTCAGCCCTACACTAGCATCAACATTATGGGGAAGGTATAGAAGAGGGAAAGGAGAGAACAGAGAAAACAGAAGAGAAGCAGCCAGACAGGAGAGTGCAGCAGGAGAAAAGGAGGGATAGGAAGGAAGCAGTAAAGGAGACAAGTGGTTGTATAGTGAGCCAAACATGGCACACCCCCTTATCTTACTCCACTTAGACAAAAGGACAAAACTGGTCTTACCAAGGCCCACACTAGACTTACAGCAGGTGAAGCAGCTTGCCCAAGGGCCACACACAAAACAAATGGTCCAGCCACAGCATGGCCAGGAAGAGGCTAAGAGATCTCAGGGATGAGCTAACCCAACCTTATCTTCTGACAGATGAAGGGTATGAAAAGAGAGAATACATAGGAAGAGGCAGTGAGGAAGGAAAGAGACTCATGGGCCCTGACCACTCTCCTGGAGCCCACTCTCCAATCGGGGCACATCCCAAGTTGGATCCTTGACTATTGTGGAATGCTGTCCTCTGAGCATAACAGCCATCTTCATCAGAGCAGCTGTGACTATTCACCAGAGACCCTCAAGATTGAGCCTGCTGATGCTCCCTCATAGATGGAAGAACAGGAAAGGGTCCTGAGATCCTCACCTGAGATTTCAGCCTCCCCTTCCTGAACCTGTCAGCAGAATTAACATTCTGCTCCACCTGTACATGGTCTGGGGAGATGCTAGAGTATACAGACTGTGGAAGGTTAACTGAAGAGAAGACTCCATCTGTGCAACTATGGGGAAGCCATCATCCATGCTAGTGTGAGACTTTTCAGTGATATGGCTATTTGGGGGTTACCCAAGCTCTGTAAATAACCCCTCCTTCATGCTCCTGTAAGTAACTCTGTGGCTACACTCGCCAAACTGCACATGAGTGGAATAATTATTTTGGTCTGTGGTTGACACCCTAGATTAAGGAGACATTTGTTCACATCTGCCCAGGAAAAGTTCAAACAACACTGCCTTCACACTCTCCCCTTCATTTCTGAATCCAAGTGGTGCTCCTCAGGGAAGCTTACAAAGGAAGAGGGGGTGCTCAGAACTATCCAGATTCATACACTAGTGAAAACTAGTCTCTGGTTCTTCCTACCTGATCCCGTGTCCAGTCCAGCTCCCCAGATGACAACCATGTAACTCTTATAGTTGCTCCAGCTCTGGGCCTCTAACTGGGCACTATGGTGAGGTTTGGTCTTACACTCCCCTGATGTCACACCTCACTGGGTCTTTGGATTCACACTGCTGAGGTGCCAGCCCCACCGTTTTACCACTGCTGCCCTGGGAAGCAGGATGTCGTCTTTGATAGCAAACCCAAGTCTCTCAGGTTATAAATCTCCTACTGTTTCTTCCTCACCTCATGGCCCAATGACAGGGCTGAAGAAATGTTGGGTTTGGCCAGCGCAGTCATAGAATAGATGAATCTCAATGTGTTTAGGAAGGGCGAGTCCTGCCTCTCCAGTCAGCCATAGATACCATTTATTCCCTGCTCTATTTTAACTTACTAACTAGACTACTAGTTGGCTTGGAAACAAATGGCAAGGCTGGGAATGGTGTCTCATACCTTTAATCTTGGTACTTGGGAGGCAGAGGCAGGAGGATTACAGAGTTCAAAATAAGTCTGTTTCAAAAAAAAAAGTAGAAGTCCACCTTCCTATCCCCCATGGTCCTTCTTTATCCTTCAGAAATCATTCTGGGAAATTTCTTGGAATGAATTGCTAGATGCAGAGAGTACAGGGCTGTGTCTAATCACTCTTGGCATAAGAGGAAAATAAGCTTGGCTGGTCTATACATTGAGCTGGGAATTCTGAAACCAAGGGAAGCACCCTGAGTATATCTTTGGGGAAATTGGACAAAGGAACAGACTGGTGACCAATTTGCCCTGTTTCTGAGCCAAAGGCTCATGATTTACTACTAAGGTAAAATATTTTAAACTGAGATCTTTTAAGAAGTCTAAAGAACAAGGTCACCACAGTGAACAAGGCCTTCCCTGAAGGAGTCCCCTTATTTAAGAGGAGCAAGAAGAAGGAAAGCAGAGAGCACACACAGACTGTAATACTCAGCACCACCCTGGCTCTGTTATCACTCCCAGATTCCTTTTGGCTCTTTTGATCACAGTTGGAAAGCCCATGTCTCCCAGCATGTCTCCCTCACTCCTGGTGTCTCATTCCACATGGAGAAGGAGGAACAAACTCCTTGGTGGAGTTGGAAGGAGAAACCAGGCAGGAGCATCCCTTTTCTACGTTCTGCGCTGCCCTTATCTGCCCTAAGTTCAGAGTAGCAGGCCTGCTATTATGGTGCCCCAAGGCCTGCCTTATCCAGCACTGCCTGTCATAAGGCTGTGAAAGGCTGTCTAATTTGGGGCTGAGTATTAGGAAGCCTTCTCGTTTGATGATATGTCTCCCCATCGCCAATATAATTCTGTGAATAATAAAGGTGATAATTGGATCTCCGGCATCTGCTTTACCCTTTGTTGGTTTTGAGCAAGTGCTGGGAAATGTGTTATCTGTTGCTGCCATTAAATCCCAGTAGTCCTGCTTATCTCAGACACTTACATCCCAAAAGGAGAAGATGGGGTGCCTCCTGTGAGCAGGCTCAGTGATTTGATATTCCCAGAATCCCCTGAGGCCTTGGCGGAACATTTTACACACTCGTATCATCATTATGATATCCATGGTGAGCTGGTACAGCCCCTGTAGAAACAGAGCAAACCAGATCAGTGGAAGCCATCTGACCTCAGGCTGGGTGGTGCTGAACAAGGTAGAAGTGAACAGGATTCAATGCAGTGGTATGTTACCAGTGGTTACATTCTTGGAAGTCTTGGTTTGGGAGTTTTGGGGGTGCTGGGGATTAAATCCAGGGCCATGAGCATGCTAGAATTAGTGCTTTACCAGTGAGGTACAACCCCTGCTCTCTCAAGAAGTTTGGAAACCTATTGAAATTACATTGATAGCTGGGCATAGTGGCGCATGCTTTTAATCTCAGCACTTGGGAGGCAGAGGCAGGCAGATCTCTGTGAGTTCAAGGCCAGCCTGGTCTACATAATGAGTTCCAGGACAGCTAGGGCTATAGGAAGACCCTGTCTCAAAAAAACCAAAAAAAAAAAAAAAAAAAGAAAAAGAAAAAAGAAATTACATTGATAGCTTTAAACTGGCCACGTTGGAAGCTATCAAACTCAGGGCATTCTTCGCCCTAGGAGCCAGTTAAACATTTACCAGTTCAGTCAGTAACTAACTTTTACTACTGTTGAGAAAATAAAGAACACAAGTAACCACAGGCAGTGTGTGTTGGGGAAGGGGGTGTATAAAGAACCTGAACTTTGGAGTCAGATGGATCCGAAGGAAAAATGGTCAAAAAGAAGCAACACTGCTTATTTTGATGATGGAGAAAGGGGTCACAAGCCAAGAAACATGAGTAGCCTTCAGACACAGAAAAGGTAAAGCAAGAGATTCTCAGAGCCTGAGGAAAGAATGCAGCCCTACTGACACTTTTTTTTTTTTTTTTTTTAATGTGTACGTGTGTGTGCCTGCTTGTCTGTATGTGCACTACACACATGCAGTGCCCACAGAGGTCAGAAGTGGGCATCAGGTCCCCTGTAACTGGAGCTCCAGAAGATCATAAGCCACCATGTGGGTGCTAGGAATCAAAACTGGGTCCTCTGAAAGAGCAGCCAATGTTCTTAACTGCTGAGCCATCTCTTGAGCATCTTTAGTTTTATTTTCATGTATGTGTATATGTGTTTGTGCAGGAGGAGACCAAAAGAGGGAGTTGATCCCCTGGAGCTGGAGTTATAGGTAGCTGTGAGTCACCTGACCAGGGTGCTGGGAAACAAATTCAGAGCAAGAGCAGCAAGTGCTGTTAACTGATGAGCCATCTCTCCAGCCCCTGCTTTTACTTGTTTTATTTTCAGTACAGTACTTACTTATTTGTTTAGGGCTTTGCAATGTACTAGTTAAGGACTCAACCACTGAGCTATATTCCCAGCTTCTGACACTCAGATTTTAGTCCAAGAAGATCTATTTTAGGCTTCTATTATATTGAAGGCTAATAAATTTGTATTCTTTAAAGTCCTTAAATTGTGGTGATTTGGGGCCAGGGAGCTGGCTCAGAGGGTAAAGGCACTTGCTGCCAAGCCCAATGACTTGAGTTTAACACCCAGGCCCATGTAGTGAAAGGAAAGAACCGACTCCCACAAGATGTCCTCTGACCTCTACACATGCACAATGGCACATATGCATGTGAACATGTAACAATTAAATTGTAGTAATTTGTTACATCAACAATAGAAAATTAATATAACACCTACACTAAGATGAGACACCTCTCACTCCCCTGAGAATGTGGAACTGGACTGAAGATAAATAGGTCTTTCCATCCCAAACTGAATTTGGGAGTCAGGTTAACCAAGTAAGCTAGCCAAGCAAACATGGAGGGCAGAGGGAATAAACCCAGAATGTAGAACAATCTACAGGTTACATCATCCATTTCTGCACCCACATGACGACTAACAACCGTTTGTAACTCCAGTGCCATGGGATCCAACGCCCTCTTCTGGCCTCCGTGGGCATTGCATGATATGGGTGCACTTACTTTAATGGAGGTTAAGCACTCATATACATAAAGTGAAAATAAGTAATCCCCAAATTTAAAAAAAGCCAGGTATGATGGCAGAAGCTTGTAATCACAGTTCAGAGGAGGAGAAGACAGGCAGATCCTTGAGGCTCTCTGGACAGTCAGCCTTGGCAAGCTCCAGGTCAGTGAGGGACCCTGTCTCAAAAAAACCAGTTGGACAGTGCCTAAGGAACAACAACTGAAGTTGACCTTCTGCTTTGACTCACATATGCCTCTCACACCCCTAATACATTATGGACAATTGTTACCACCATGTGTGTGTGCTGGGATTTGAACCCAGGTCCTCTGCAAGAGCAGCCAGTGCTCTTAACCACTAAGCCATCTCTCCAGCCCCTTCTTTTTCTTTTTGAAAGCAGAATCTCATGTAGCCTAGGATAGCCTCAAATTCTATATGCAGTCAAGAATGACTTTGAACTTCCAACCTTCCTACCCCCATCCCCCAAGTGCTTGGATTACAGATACATACAACCATCCCTGATTTCTGGGTTCTGGGGATCTAGCCTAGGGTTTTATGACTGCAAGGCAAGGTTTATTAACTGAGCTCTAGCTCCAGGCAATTTAGTATCTTTTTAGTATTATAATGGTATTGTGGTTATGTGGAATCATGTCTTTATTTTTAAGTATCATAAAAATCTGCAATTTGTGGGCCAGTAAGATGGCTTGGTGGGTATAAGTGCCTGTGGAGTAAGCCTAGCGACCTCAGCGCAATCTTTTGCAATTCATATAAAGGTGGAAAAAAGAACTGACCACAAAGTTGTTCTCTCCTCTGACTGCCACATGCTGCTGTAGCATGTGGGCCCATACACATACATCATGCACACTCATACAATAACAAAAAAATGCTTTAAAAAAGCCAATGAGGTATAAAAATATATACAATTTACTTTCAAAAGACTTAGCACACATGTATACATGCACAAATACATAAGTCAATATGGCAAATGTTAACTAGTAAATCTAATGGGTAATTATTAGACATATCTCTTAAAGTTTTATGTCTGAAAGCTTTTGTAATTAAAAAAATGCAAAACTAGTCAGACCTATTGACACACGCCTATTATTCTAGTACTTAGGAGGCTGAGGCAGAAGGATTGCTATGAGTTTGAAATCAGCCTGGGCTATATAGTAATAATGCAAAAACTAAATTAAAAATTCAGCTTACAAGTTTTTGTTATTAGCAAACATAAGAGAAAGACAAACTAGGTACTGAAAGACTGCATCTGCCACACACAACTGCTATCACATGACTATCCAGGGTTTTGTGGGTTTTTTGGTCTTTTTAAGACAGGGTCTCCCTGTAGCCCCAGGTGGCCTGGAACTCACTATGTAGACTAGGCTGGCCTTGAACTCACAAAGATCTGCCTGCCTCTGCTGGGATTAAAGGCATGTGCCACCATGCCCAGCTATCCAGGGTTTTTTAACCCTAGCACTCATAAGAAAACTATAACTAATCCAACAGCAAAATGAACAAAGAATTTGAACAGTTCATTCAAAGAAAAATGTGACTCACCAACAAATTATGAAAACAGTTTTTTGTAGTGCTGGCAACTGAACCCAGGGCCTCCTAATTGTTAAGCACATGCTCTGCCACAGGAGCCACTCATAGCCCTAAATCATGAAAGATTCTTTTAAAAAAATATTTTATTTATTTATATTTTATGCATTTGAGTGTATTGCCTGCATGTATGTAAGAGCATCCGTGTCATGCAATGGCCATGGAGGTCAGAAGAGGGTGTCAGATTCCCCTAGAACTGGAGTTACAGTTGTTAGTCACCAAGTGGGTTCTGGGAAATTGAACCTGGGTCCTCTCCAAGAGCAGCCAGTGCTCTTAACCACTGAGCCATCTCTCTATCCCCAATCATGAAAGATTCTTAACATCACTAGAAATCATGGTAATGTATAAAGTAAGACAAGATATACTTAGGATCAGAGAACTGGGAAGCACACACAATGTTGTAGAGAGATTTGGCAACATATTTTAAATCTGAGAATGTATATATTTTACAACCAAGAAATTATACACTGGTTGAGTTGCCCATGCTCCAGTAAATAACCCCTACCCATGCTCATGAAAGCAACTCTAAACTCAGTGGTTTCCTCTCTCTCTCTCTCTCTCTCTCTCTCTCTCTCTCTCTCTCAGGGAACTTGTTGGGAAGAGAAAAAATTATTCAGCAGGAATGGATGAGGGATAAGAGGATAATGGGGAGGGGGTATGACCAAAACACATTATATACATGTGTGAAATTGTCAAAGAATAATAGAAATTAAAATAAAGAAACAGAGGCTGGAGAGATGGATCAACAGTTAAGAGCAATGGCTGCTCTTGCAGAGGACCTGGGTTCAGTTCTCAGCACGCACATGGTGGCTAACAATTATCTTGTAACTTCAGTTCCAGGGGATCCAATGCCCTCTTCTGGCCTCCACAGGCATTGCATGAATGGGGGCACTTACTTACATGCAGGCAATACACTCATGCACATAAAATTTAAAAATAAAAAAATTTTTGGTCTTTCTGAGTCAGGGTCTCCCTGTATTCCTAGCTGACCTAGAACTTGCTATGTAGAACTCACAGAGATCTGCCTGCCTCTGCCTCTGAAGTGCTGGGATTAAAGGAGTGTGCCACCATATCTGGCTATAAAAATAATTTTCTTTAAATCTATTTTATTTTTGGTGTTTTGAAACAAGGTCTCACTATGTAAGCCCTGGCTTGCCCGAAACTCATACACAGACCAGGCTGGCCTTGAACACACAGAGATCTGCACGCCTATGACTCTCAATTGCTAGTAGTAAAGATATTTACCATGCCTGTTATAACAGTGAATGGCTAAAGACAAGTGTCCATCAGTGAAGGAAGAGACCAATACATTCTGATATAATAACAAGATTGAACACAGCACTAGATTTCTATGAGTCAGTGTGAATAAGGATGAAACTGCCTTAAGTGGGGAGAAAAGTAAACTATACTGTCATTTATGGTTTCCTTTTGAAAAAGGGCACCATGGGGCTAGAGAGATGACTCAGTGGTTAAGAGCACTGACTGCTCTTGTGGAGAACCTGGGTT